CCGCGACCTAGTGCCCTCAAAGCAGGAGCCGCCTTACTATGAGGCAAAGGCGTGGCGCACCACTGAAGAAGAAATTGAAAGGATGAAGAACCTTTTTCCATTCTTTCGTGCCGAAAATTATCGGCTTATGTCTGCGAGTACTGGTCCCATAGGTACCAAGTCGCACGTACAGGGCGTCCTCCCAACAGGTGCGTCGTTGGAAGAGGCACTGATGGCTAAGCCCGGTGTGTGCCCGATTACGAGCACCTACAACCTCACATACGAGGGTGAAGAGGTTGTGATTGATGCACAGGGCGGGATAGCAGGCAGAATCGCCTGTCCTGCCGGAAATGACATCTTCCATTTTTTCCCCGAAATTAGGGATGTGTCGGCGTTTGTTGGACGAAGTTCCAGGGAATCGCAAATGCTGCTAGAAGTTTTGTCGGGCAACACTGACCCTACGCGGTTAAGCGTGAAGCCCGGTGAGCAGCCTCCCTTCTTGTTTGGGACGGTTCCAGACATTCTGGGAGGTTGGATGTCAATGACTCTGATCTCAACGCTACTTGAGGCCCTATACGGGATCCACAAGTGCACGAGTGTCGAGGTAGCGACCTGGGCGGGTGCTCTCGCAAAGGAAAGCCCAGCGTACCCTCCAGTCGAGCTCCTAATACGGACAGTCTGGAGGACAGATGGCACGAGTGTGCGCCCGAATGAGGTGCTTTTTGCGCGGTCCACCCTAATCGGGAGGGACGTGCCGTTCAAAGTTTTCAAGCGTTGGGCACTGCGTGACCGAACGCCTATGGGGCCTTTGCTTAGGCCGATGGGAGCAGCAGAAGTCCCTTATACGGGATACGTGCTGCTGACGATGGCCGAGTATCGGTCCGCCCTCAAAACGAGGTGCGTCCGGAGGCCTGGCAAATTCGCCATCACAGTTTTCCCCATGCGACCTGAGCAGGTCTGCAGGGGGGAGATCATGATTGGGATGGAGGGCGCAAAGGTGCCTTTCCTCAAGTTGCCCAGCCCCAATAATGAGGGCGAATTTTATGTTGACGACCGCGTCAAGTACATGGACAAGCGCCATGTCGTTGTGGCCGTTGACCTAAAGTGGATGGCCATCGAGGAAGCCGCCGGCATCTACAAAACCCGACGCGGTTTGATTGCCGTGCGGGAAGAGATACATGCGCCATTCTGGCGCGCATGCTATCTGCATCAGGAAGGGGATGTAATATACATCCGCCCCTGGGCGGTCCGTGAGTTGAATGTTCAGGGACCGCGGAGAGGGGTGTCTTTTTCATGGGACAATGCTCCCATGCATGACTACTGGTGCCCTCGGTGCGCGCATTTGAACATGTATGGCACCATTCTATGCAATGGTTGCCATCTGCCGATTTTCTATCGTGAATGGGTGCCAGGCACCGTCCGCGCTCTGGTTAAGCATGGACAGCCAATCTGGCTGAGCGAACTCAAAGCAGTCCGCCCCAGCAGCTGGCATGAAGGGGAGACCGACGCGTGGGCCCCTCTCATGGCATCGGTAAACCCGATTCGCGAGGTGGTCAGCTGCATGATCACCGGTTTGCGCTGCGCGCCGCATCTTGTGCACATTCCCAATGCGGATACTGTGCAAGTTGCGTTTCAGGAGGTTGCAAAGGTCACCTCAAAGGACACTCACGCTTGTGTGCGGGCGAGTGATGAGGCTCTCGAGCGGTGGGTAGCGAAGCAGCTGCTCATCGAGGAGAGCAACACTGGCGTCTCGATTCCCGACAATATGTCTGTCATGGCATATTTAATCGAGCACCCGCAACAGGCGGCGCAATGGGGTCGTCATATGACGAGAAAGGGCAGTCTAAATTCAGCATTTGCCCTTTACCTCTCTGTGCATATCTTTGATGCCTACCGCATCGGGATTGAGGACGGGTATTTGGTTCCGCTGTATGGCCTAGGCGCCTCACGCGCGGACATCATAATGTCGTTGGTACAGGCTGAGCGACGCCTCACGGACTTCAATACTGAAGATCCGAGTTTCGACGCTTCCACTGTTCTTGATTGGAATATCGACTCTTTGCGGGCCAGTGGTGGATCCATCACGGCCCCAATTGAGTATGCTGAGGCATACATTTATGTCGAAGACAATAAGGTTGACATGGTCCCCGCTTCGCGGCGCGACGGCCAATGCGCCATTGTCTTTGCTGACCCGCCGGTTGGGAAGCACCACAGGCGGGCAGCCACTCCTAGGGGAGACCAACGGTCTGCTACCCCGCGACCTGAATCCAGGTCAAAGGGTGATCAGCAAAAGGGCAAAGCCCCTGCACAATCCTGGCCCAAGGGCGGAGGTCACAAGGGTGACCAGTTCCCAGGAAAGGGTCACAAAGGTGATCAGTACAAAGGCAAGGGTGGCCAATACGGCTACCAACAAGGGCAGTTCGGTCGTGGCGGATCCGCCAGATCGAGAACTCCCACTGGCGGGTATCAGCCTGATGCTCGCGGGTCGGGATACAAGGGTGCTCAGGCAGCCCCTTTCCCGTTCCAAGCCCGATGTACCCCGCTTTCCCAATGGGAGGGTACATGCAACAGCCAATGGCTGGCATGATGCCGCAAATGTGGCCTGGCACAATGCAGCAGGGTTGGCAGCCGCACATGCAGGGTGATCCACGCGAGTTCGAGAATCCGAACTCGCCGCATACCCCTACCTGGGGTGCGGATGATGAGTTGGCCGAGACCGTGCCTCCTCCTCCTGGGGACTGGAACGTCAACAAGGGGAGGGGACGGCACGGCGGCGGACGACATCGGTAATACCTGGTGTCCGTCTGCATCTTTTGCGTAGCGGCGCCAACGCGCGCGTGCTTTCATTCCGGAATTCACATAATGGACAATGCTCCCTGTAGTATTTCTATGTTTGGGCTATTCGCCATTCCAGAATTCAACTGCATGCGCAGCTGTGCGCTATTCGCGCTGGCAGCGATTACCTGTCAGGTGTGCGTCGCCGCAGCAAGGCAGTTACCCTCGCCGGTGTCTACGGCCGCTGGTTGTCAGCATCGTCCAGCACCGCTGCTGCTGCTGGAGATGGAACTCATCAAGGTGCTGCGGTGAGGATCACGGATGCGCTGCACCGCTGCCGGTGAAGTCCTACTCGGACCTGAACCGCTGATTGCAGCTGGTGGTGTTCCTACTGAAGGTCTTTGTGTGATCGCGCGCCTAGACGGTGCTACTTTAAAGACCAAGGTCTTGTGGTCAAAGCACCATGTTTCAACCAGTAGGCCAATGCGCCTAAATCATGAATTCAGGAACTAAATCCACTTGAACCTTGCGGTTCGTTGTGGTTGCATTGCAAATGTAATTTTATTTCATGCCTGCCATTCTGGAGTTGAATCTTTGTTTCTGTTTCTTTTTGCTTTCTCTTGTTTGATTTGGCTACCGGCGCGAATCCGCCCCATACCCGTAATTCGGGGTGGTGGCGGGATCCGGGCACCAATGAGTGCCCGGGTATGGGGCCGCGAACCCTGGTAGCCTAATCGGCTCTGTTTTCTTTTTATTTGTTTTTCAACTTCAACATGGCCAATGCGCCCTTCCAAATTCACTCCTTCTCTTTGTACAGGCGAGGGGGGTGTTTTTGGGGGCATGTACTTCTATCATAGCATGTTTCATGCCGAAGCCCAACGCGGCTTTTGGCTCAAGCTTTTCACCTGGCATTCATTGCTCGCCATTTCGTCGGGAAAAGATCACGGCGCACCTTCACACCGGCCTCGTGTTTACGCGGCCGTTGTGCCTGGGGCGGTGTTCTTTGTCCTGGAGGTGGGTCGGGCTATTGTTTGAGGTGCGCTGCTATTGCTTGCTTTGCTCGCTTGGTGCTGCTTGCTGCTGGTTTGCCTGCCTGCTCTGCGCTGTGCTGCGCTTCTGCTTGGTTTCTTCTTGTTACAACGAGGCACCCCTTTTGGTTCGTGTTAGTGCCGGCCGAGGGCAACCGCTTTGCCCTTGGGACCGGGGGGATAAGGTGGTCTCTTCTTGTTGGTGGGTTAGGGCCTGTTTTATCCATCCCGAAACTCTGTTTCAAACCCTTTCGCAAACAGAAAGGACTAGTTTCAAGAGGTTTAGGTTGGGGAGGGTTGCAAGCAGCACCGTTTAAGGAACTGTTGTGTTCAGACTTTGATTGATAAGCCATAATCTATACTGTATGTATAGGACAGCGCATGAGCAGCGCCCCTTTGCAGCTGTCGCTTGCCGTTCAAAGACTTATCAACACCATCTCAGCGCCTCGCTGGAGAAAAGACGATGTCATGCTGCTCTATGAGCACTGCCGAGCGAGCAGCGTTGACCAATTTCATTATTGGTCCCAGAGTCAGGACCGCCAATGATCGTGGGTACTGAATCCAATCCCCCGGCACCACTTGTTCAAGATCAATATGTGCCCGAGCGATCTTGAATTGTCACGGTAGAAAGCTCAAATTTGCCAGCATGCTGCTGAGCAAGCACTATGCGCTGCAAGGGCCGCCTATATACATGAAGCCTACTTGCAACCTTGGCTTTATGTACACCCTGGTCTGAAGTTGCCTTGCATTGTCAGACTGCAGTTTGCCGGAGCCCGCCCAACAGCCCTCACACATTGTAGCCCGGAACCAATGCTTTGAGCGGCGTTCAAGAGCTGCCTGTGCCGAAACCATATTATACCTAGTAAGTCAGACTGGGTATATGAAAGTTTTTACGGGACATTGTGAGCCAAGCAGACAGATGGCATCAGTGCCAAGTTGGTCAAGCGTAGCCTGGTGAATCTTGACAGCGAGGGTGCTGTTGAGCGACTCAGGGGCTGCAGCTCATTTGACACAAACACCCTGGCTCCAAGTCAATATGTGTTCTTTTGAAGTTATGTATGGATCAGTACATGTATTCAAGAATCGATTGCAAACTGAAACAGCCATCGAGGAGACTGTTTTGTGTGCCAGTGATCAAGCCAATAATCTTAGATGGAGGTGTGTCCTTGTTGTTTTGGCTTTTGGTGCCACCTGTTTTTCAACAAAACCGGCAGGGATTGGGTTGTTCCACCGCAGATTTGATTGGGCCATGCAGCTTCGCATCGTGGTGACTGGTGATACCAACAGCGCCTTGGCGTGTGTGACCAGCGACCGGCGGTGGCATCCCTCGCTTCTAGGGGGTTCTTTCTGCAGTTTCGACTTCTTGGGCAAATGAACCCTGCGCCCTGATGTGTGGACATTTGCAAGTTGATTGAAGCCCTGTTGAGTCTTGAAGCAGGAGACTTTGCAGGAATGTGTATCGCTTTTGGGCAACGATTGCGTTGGGTTGAGGGCGATTCGAAGTTTCAGCTCTTTGTTCACTTGGGAAACTGAGGCAGGCAAGGGGTATGGCTGGTCACAAAAGGGCTCTTTGTGACCACCACAGTGTAACAGTGTCAACGACGCCCCAACTTATGAGCTACCTTTGGTCACAATTGTCCCCAGTTGACCACGCATGTCGAGGTGGCAAGTCGACATTGAGCAATGCGGTGATAGGCCCGGGTGCTCAAAACAAAAAAACCCTGGTGTTGACTGACGGTGGGAAGTTAAGCAAAGGGATTAGCCCTGCTGTTCCTCCAAACGCTTGCTTGGGACAGCGAGGATGTGTTTCAAGAATTGCGTGCTGGACCACCACATATAGATGCTATTCAGGCTGGCATGTATCAGCAAACCTGATTCCCTCCGAATTCGCGCGACCTCACACGGCCTTGCTTTGGATTCCTACTCTGCTGACTCAGTGGAAGCAGAGGGCTTCCCCCATGCCCCCTTTCTCAGGCAAAGGCATAGAAGTCGGGCGAGGCATGGCAAGGCAAGGTCCATACTGTTTGTCAGCGGGACAGGGGTAAAGCAACTCAGCCCCGGTAAGGAAAAGCTTGCATCATTTTGCATTTTGATATTCAAGGTGTCAGGCAATGGTGGTGAAGGAAGCCTTCAACCAACACAAGCAGGATGATGGAAAGGGTGTTGACTTCCGCGACCAATCCGGAAAATGGCATTCCATGTAAGTCAGATGCCTACACCCCCTGTTGAAAGGGTTGTGGGTGTCCTGCATTTGAGCCATGTCCAGAAGGGCTGTCATCAGGGAGATCGAAGTGTGAGGAAACAGCTTCAGCTGTAAATTCCACTTGTGGGGAGCCCCTGTAGAACTTACACCATCCAGATCCTTGTGAAGTCAGCAGGAATCTTTGCCAAAGACTTTATGCTGTTGAATGTTTCTTCCTGAATAAAGCGGCACAAGACATGAGACCCTGAGGCAAGTTGCATGCATTTCGAAGCTGAGGGACTCGCAAGCCTTGCTTCAACAGTCCCGGGCAGGATGTCAAACATACACCTCCTACCACTAGTACAAGTACAGGTACTTCTGAGAAGATATAGTGGAATCTTTTTGGGGATGTGTCGTGAAGGAACTGCAAGGGAAACCAACCATTGGGAAGCCCTCTATTTTGAGGCAAGCCCACATACAATCTGTGGCAGTTTACCATGGAAGATCAGTTCTCAGGAATCCAATAATTATTTCGTCAGGTGCCATGGAAACGCGGAGTGGCGGGCTGGTACTTTCGATGACTGGACCCTCGGATCCCGCGCATGGCGCGGGCGGATCCTCGGAGGCAGCGAGCTACTTCCGACCTCCAACCAGAGCGAGTCGGGTGCTCGGATCGGTGGGCCAGGGCAGGCCGGCAGGTAGGCAGGTAGGTGCCACTTGTTTTCTTTCTTTTGTTTGTTTGTTGGTTTGTGTTGTTTTGTTTTGTTTAGTTTGTTAGTGTTTTTCTTTGTGTGTTGGTTTGTTTGTTTGCCTGTTTGCTTGTTTGTTTGTTTGTTTGTTTGTTTATTTGTGTGGTTGTTTGTTTTGTTTGTTTGTTTGTTTGTCTGTCTGTCTGTCTGTCTGTCTGTCTGTCTGTCTGTCTGTCTGTCTGTCTGTCTGTCTGTCTGTCTGTCTGTCTGTCTGTCTGTCTGTCTGTCTGTCTGTCTGTCTGTCTGTCTGTCTGTCTGTCTGTCTGTCTGTCTGTCTGTCTGTCTGTCTGTCTGTCTGTCTGTCTGTGTGTTTGTTTGTTTGGTTTGGTTTATTGTTTGTTTGTTTTTTGTTTGTTTGATTGTTTATTTAGGTGTTCATTTGTTTTTGTTGTTTGTTTGTTGTGTTTGTTTGTTGTGTTTGTTTGTTGTTTGTTTGTTTTTTTGTTTGTTTGTTTGTTTGTTTGCTTGTTTGTTTGTTTGTTTGTTTGTTTGCTGGTTTGTTTGATTGTTTGCTTGTTTGTTTATTTGTGTGTGGTTTGCAAGGTCTTGCAGGAAGTTGCTTATCATTACCCCATTCAGTCCCCCAAGAAGCGGCACTTGGCTACGTGTTGGTCTTGCCTGATCTTCCAACTCTTGTCAGAGTGAAAGTAATTTGTGTTTGCTTTCTGCACAGCGTGTATGCCGAAAGAATGTTGGTGCAAATGGCGTCATATTGAGAGGTACAAAGTTCCAGTCGACAGTCGGTTGTGCTTACACCTGAACATGTTATTGCAGCAAACCAGGACACTTTCCTACACTGAACCAACATGATTGGTCATGTTCTTGCGCGCAGAAACATTTGATTCTTGCCCCATCATGTAGATGGTGTTTGCTTGTTTGTTTGTTTGATCCTATCCATATGCGCGAACAAGCCTCCAATGCCAAAGTTCGGCTGATGGACACCTGGCAAGTCTGGGGCGGTAGCATGCAGCAACACTTTGAGTTACACCCCTGCAAACTAGCATTGATTTCTTTACAATCGAGGGTTTTTTGGCGTTTCATGTTAATCTGTATGGGGGCAATGCTTCGAGGGAAGGCATGTTATGTCGCGGATCCCCTCCCCCTTGTCGGTAGTTTGAGGGTCTAAACCCAAAGCGCCATGACTGGGAAAGCTGTCAGATATGTTCACACGAGGTAATGAGCGTGACGTGCGGCCCTGACGCGATTTTTGGCTCAGTTCTAGTCCCATCAATGCAGAGAAGCTGGTGCCTGATGGCGCTGCTTCGTGTGCTGCCATTGCTTGCGCTGCTTTCAGAGGCAGCGGGAGCCCCAGACCGGAGGACCCATTTTTGACGACATCCCAGGCTGTCCTTTTTAGGGGCTCAGTGGAAAAGTGTATGGTCCCTCTGCAAGTGTTTGTAGAAGTGCGGCGTATGTGAGGCTGGCCGCAAACAACAGTGGCCAAAGGAGCCCTGCTCAGGTTCAGGTGCGGAGAGTGGGAAGCGCATGCGGATGTGCCATTTGAACAAACTATGTGAGCTAACAGTCAAGGGTGGCTGATGTTTGCAAACAGGAAACATCCGCGACCTTGCACGAGCAAATCGGGAAATGTCCCACTCTGGGAGTTCTGATATGTATCATGAATTTACCGGTTTGAGTTCCTAATTGCGTAAAAGTGCAGACAGGCGCTGATTGGGCTTTATCCGTGCTTGTCCTAAAAGCACGTGCAGAAAAAGGAGTGGGGACAACCCCAATCGAGCGGGTACTTGTGCCGCCTCCAGTAGACAAACCACACAAATGCCTTCACCATTTTTGCAGATGCTTGGGTTACCTCGTTCCTTGGTTCCACGCCTTGATCGACGTCCCGGCCGGCGACTGAGGCGAAGTTCCGCGGCACGCCGGGAGCCGATGTGCAGCTCGGGCGGCTCGCCCTCGAGAGTCTGGCTGAAGGGAAGCAAACACCACTTGTTCGCTTGATTCATTTGGCCCGTAAGGAACGCAACAAGGGGGGATACTCTATTTTAGGACAACTGGTTTGATGTTTGACACGGTGACTATCCTATCAGAAGTATTCGAGACCATTTGCACAAAATGCCTAGGCAGCCCCTCAGCCTTATTTGACAAGAAACAGCACCCACCCGTGTTGCGATTGCGAGAGTTGCAGAGGAATGGGAGGCAGGTTGCGTGCAGGTGGTGCAGGCAGGTGCTGGTACAGGGCTCGCCGGGTTTTTTCCAAGTCGCAGTTCGGGTTTGGGAAAAACATGTTCATTCGTACGGGGTTATTTATTGACATGCTTGCCCCCATGTGAATACTTTGACCATGGACCATGCTACATGCCACGTCAGTTCATTGAGGCGAACACGGCCCAGTAATGCAGGTGCCAGCTAGTTGAGATTGCGGCTCGAACTTCACGTGAACTATTTTGGCGCGAGCAGGGCCGGCAATCACAATCGGCTTCTTAGCAACTGATTCTGCACCGCTTCGAGGCTAAAGCTCCACCAGCTCCCCCTTGTGGACAAGGCCAGGTGCCCTGTGTTGTAATTACTTACCGACATCACACGAGTTTTAGGGGAAGCGAGCGGCCTGGTGTGTTTGCCTTTCTTTCTGGTGATGCTGGATACAATTTGGCTTCGCGTTTGTGTTGTCAATCCAAAACGCTCGCGCACCACTTGCCTTGCTGTTTGGAAGTCAACTGGCTGCAGCTGGTGTTGTGGTCTTATCCATGTTGATGAATGCTATATCAAGAGATGCTCAACGCCGCCTATTTCGGAAAGAGTAAACTTGTGGGTGATCTGTCCAACTGGCAACGCCCATGGAAGTCCATGCAGCACGACGCAAGTGATTGAAATGTCATAATGCAGTGGGTTGCATGTTGAGCATCAGATTGAACCTACTTGGAATGGTGAGGCACTGCCACACCATCTTATATAGCCCTGTTTGAGATCCTAGGATCGCACATCTCAAAAGGAACCAACATTGTTTGCAATTGGTTGTGTTGTCCGTAATTGGTTCCTTGGTGCGGAACGGTGGTTCCAAGCTTGACACACAGTTCACCCGGAACCCCGAGACCCCGCAATATCATCCTCAAAAGAAGCGTCTATTGCTAGCTGCCCTTTGCAAGTCTTACGTGGACCTTTGAGATTGCACTCTGGGAAGCTAGTCCAAAGCCTTGAGTAGCTTGAGCATCACCACCCAAACTGGACGGCTGCCAGGCCTGTCCGCACTGCTGCTACCACGGGGAGAAAGAGGTGCCTTGTCTGTCAAGGAGAAGATGCCGCCCACAATCAGTGGATTTGTTTTATCGAGCAATGAATGAGCCTTCCCTGGACCCACAGAATTAGCACCAGGCCAGCGTCTGAATTTTTGGTTTTGCCTCCTTGGCAAAGCAGAACAAAGGTAGAGCATGGAGCCATGGCTCTTAGCTTGCATTCACAAGCCATGGATGCTTCGCTCGCGCCCGTTGATCACTGTCAGGTGCCATGCCTTGACGTGGAGCAATGCGCGGAGAAGGGTCCGACCAACGGCAGGCAGGGGCTTGTTGATCGTCATGCCCCAACTTCACGAGCCTCCTTTGGTGCTACGGCAGACCAAATCCACCCGTTGGGAGGGGCCCTAGCCTTCAAATGTACTCCGGCCTAGCTTTGAGGCAGAGAACGGCTGAGACGCTGATTGACACGTCAGCTTCAGGTATGCGATTGTCATGTCTTACGTGGGCAAGCCTCGCGACAAGATGCTGCCCTACATCCGGTCCATGCAAGCGGCAGCTGCAATGGCCAACAATGCAGACATTGTAATGGTTATGCGGAAGTCCGACACTTGTTTGCAGAGTTTGCAATAGCGGGGATTGTCGTTTTCACCCTCCCCTTTTTCTCAGTACAACGACGAAGACGGGCACATGTCGTGTTGATTGTTGCGCTTGGAGGGGCCTTGCTGATATAGCAGTACCCTAGACTTCCAAAGGACATTAAATAAATGGCCGAGGTGGCAAAGTACATTTTCTGGGAAAAGGCCATTTTTTGCTGATATTTGGTTGGATCATGATTTTCACGAAAATCGCACTTAAAAGTAGCTGGAGGGGGCTGCACAGTCCCATTTTGCCGAGCTTGAGAGTGCTTCGTGCGCTTCGCACTGCCTTCTGCAGAAACTTGCCAACGTCAGCCACGGGGCACGGCTAAACTGTTTATTTGATTTCTGCATATACTGGTCCAGCATACATCCATCGATCCATGCATGCATATTGGCAATTGCCAAGCCAGAAAAGAGCTACAAAGTCCTGTGAAGTCACGTGCCGCGAGTTAACACCAAAATGGTGCAAAAACGGTTTGTGCAGAAAATGTCTTTTCTACGGCAATAAATGGCCGTTCTACGGCAGAAAATGTACTTTCTACGGCAGAAAATGTACTTTCTACGGGTTGTCTACGGTTTGTCTACGGTCCCTTTCGGTCACAAGCAGCGAACAACGAGCTCAACAAATCTCGGCTTTACGACTCGACCTGATGTGAATATCCTGAGTTTGCAATGTGTTTCCCCTTCTGCGGAATCAAGTACCCCTGACTTACACCGTACTTTTCGTAGCGGTTATTTGCTTGCCTATGGTTTTCCCGAATGGTTTGCCTGTGGTATGTCTATGACTTGTCTACGGTATGTCTATGGTTTGTCTATCGTCAATTTGCCCTGATCAGAGCACTCGAAGAAATTGAGCCCCCATAGTGGATGCAAAAAATGTCCCTTCTCGAGCAAAAAATGTCCGTTGTCCCAAGGACATTTATTTAATGGCCGAGGAAGTTCTGGGAGTATGTGTGAAAATGCACGCATAAAGTACCCTGACGGTTTTTTGGGATAGAGAAGCAATATGTTGATGAAAGTGTATCTACGTAAGCCATGGCCTGCACACCATGGACATCTCTTTGTGTTGAGCTTTGCCGCGGCA